CCTCGAAAATGGCGACAGTTTCACAGATCGCAGCCCCCCCAGGGATGGCGAGGTCTAATTTGAATCTGCGCGGGGCCCTCACTGTGCTGGGCCCCCCAGCAGGCCTCGAAAATGGCGACAGTTTCACAGATCGCAGCCCCCCAGGGATGGCGAGGTCTAATTTGAATCTGCCCGTGGCCCTCACTGTGTTGGGCCCCCAAGCAGGCCTCGAAAATGGCGACAGTTTCACAGATCGCAGCCCCCCAGGGATGGCGAGGTCTAATTTGAATCCGCCCGTGGCGTCACTGTGCTGGGCCCCCCAGCAGGCCTCGAAAGTGCGACAGTTTCACAGATCGCAGCCCCCCAGGGATGGCGAGGTCTAATTTGAATCCGCCGCGATTACCCTCTATGCAGGACCCCCCAGCAGGCCTCGAAAGTGGCGACAGTTTCACAGATCGCAGCCCCCCAGGGATGGCGAGGTCTAATTTGAATCCGCCGCGATTACCCTCTATGCTGGACCCCCCAGCAGGCCTCGAAAGTGGCGACAGTTTCACAGATCGCAGCCCCCCAGGGAGGGCGAGGTCTAATTTGGATCTGCCGCGATGACCCTCTATGCTGGTCCCCCCAGCAGGCCTCGAAAGTGGCGACAGTTTCACAGATCGCAGCACCCCAGGGATGGCGAGGTCTAATTTGGATCTGCCGCGGTTACCCTCTATGCAGGACCCCCCAGCAGGCCTCGAAAGTGGCGACAGTTTCACAGATCGCAGCCCCCCGCAGGCAAGACAGGAAGAGGCAGGCAGGAGGCAGGAGGGAGGCGGGAGGAGACGCGACCACACTGCTCTATTCAAAACGAATACCCAACCAAGGAGGGTTGGGAAAACCCTCTATGCACTACCCCCCAGCAGCCTCGAAAGTGGCGACAGTTTCACAAAGATCGCAGCCCCCCAGGGAATGGCGAGGTCTAATTTGAATCTGCCGGGTTTACCCTTCCTATGCGGACCCCCCAGCAGGCCTCGAAAGTGGCGACAGTTTCACCAGATCGCAGCCCCCCAGGGATGGCGAGGTCTAATTTGGATCTGCCGCGTTACCCTCTATGCAGGCCCCCCAGCAGGCCTCGAAAGTGGCGACAGTTTCACAGATCGCAGCCCCCCGCAGGCAAGACAGGAAGAGGCAGGCAGGAGGCAGGAGGGAGGCGGGAGGAGACGCGACCACACTGCTCTATTCAAAACGAATACCCAACCAAGGAGGGTTGGGGAAAAAAAAGCATTGCTAATACTACGAATTGTACTTATACGACAATTGACCGCTACCAGTGCACAGTGCAAGAAGAAGGCGTAACTTGTAAAGGGTTCGAGCTCGGGCTCGGGTTTAGGACTGCGCATGCGATACCCAAATAGTACAAGTACAATAAACTAGCAATACAAATGCGAACGAACATAAATACACGTACACATATATATGTGTGTATACATACATTTATACATTTATACATATACAACATTCAGCTATAGTACACATACACATACAGCGCGCGTACAATACAACTAGAGGAACTTTCCTTCCCGCACGCACATGACGTTCATAGTTGCCGCGATGCGACCCCAATACAAATACGATCGGAACTACCGCACGCACGTAAGGACAAAACCGAGATTCACCAAGAAATCTGCAACGTTTCGGCAGTCGCAGAGATCGCTTGGGAATCCTCGCAGATTCCTGGGGATCCAGCTGACCCTTTTCGATATTCTTCTGGATGCCTTAGGAGTCGTCGGGATCCTTCAGGTTTGGCAAGATCCTTAAAGGATCCCGTCATATTCCTCAAAGTCCGTCAGGATTCCGCAGATTCACAAGGGATTCCGCGGGATCTTCTGGGGGCACTCAGGTTCCCCCGTGCTTCCTTCACGGTTCTGCAGGATTCCCCCGGGTCTGTGATAATTCATCAGATTCCCTTCGGAACCCGTTGGGGTCCAGATCTAAAGGAACACTTCGGAACCCTGAACACCTTGGAGAATATCGAGAAACTCTAACGAACCATCTGCAATCCTGAAGAAACCGTTGGGGTCCTGAACCACACTGAGGATACCGGAGGAACCCTGAGAAATCCGGAAGAACCTTCGGCACTTCTGAAGCATCCTGCGGGAACCTAAGGCATCCTGACTAATCCTGGGACATGCCGATGAATCTTGCGGAGCCCTACATTACACACAGAGGGCCCGTTGGGACTCCTGCGACATCCTGCGGAACCCTGGGGGAACTCAGGGGATCCTGAGAACTCTCGGGCACCTTAACAAATCTTTAGGAAGCTTGAGGAACCAACCTAACGGATCCCAAGACATCATGAGGGACAACCCCCCTTCCCGCGACGCGACGCGAAGCGTCGCAGAGAATTGGAAGCCCAGTGGAACGCAGCCTGGACTCCCCGAGGAGCACAGATGAATCCAAAGGGATCCTGCGGGATCGTGAGGCTTCCCGAAAATCCTTCTGGAATCTTACAAGATCCTGATAAGCCCGGAAGAACCCT